AGGCATGTCTGGTATATTCCTTCTCTGCCTGGTTGCTGAGGAGAAAAACCATACAGGGCACAATTTCACAGACTTTAGGCTTTAAGACGAATGTGTATTGAAATGTTTTGTGATGAGTTATTTCTTTTCTTGTAGGTTGAAACGTTTTCTGGTGTCTATAAGAAGCTCACGGGCAAAGATGTTAATTTTGAGTTCCCAGAGTTTCAGTTGTAAACAAAAATGACTAAATAAAATATTATTCACAATATTGTTTTGGGTATGTTTTTCCAAAGGAGAGAGCTGTGGGTGCAGAGCTGTGTGCATTATCAAGTAGCTTCCTACACAGGCTGGAAGATTTTGAACAGAGAGGGTCCTTGTAGTTTGTGTCCGTGTGTTGGTTTCAGGTGTACGGCACCGTGATTCAGTTATACATATATATGTTCTTTTTTCAGATTCTTTTCCCTTAGGTTATTATAAAATATTGAGTACAACTTCGTGTGCTCTACAGTAGGTCCTTGTTGGTTATCCGTCTTCTACATTAGAGCCGGATTGTCCTGGGGAGCATGAGAGGCCAAGGGCTGCCCTAGCCTGGCGTCCGCTGTCTGATTTGCCGCCTTCACACGAGCCGCCCTTGCTGCCCCTCCCCATCCTGCCTTCCGCTGGCCTTGGGCCTGTGCGCTGGTGACCTTGCCACACCCTGCAGGCCTGTCCCTTCAGGCAGGGGACAGTTGTTGACCTGGAGTCGCAGGATGTGCGGCCTAGTGGGCAGGAGCCGGGCCGGGCAGCAAGCGGGGCGGAGGCAGGTCAGCTCGCCCTCCACGGCTGCGCTCACTGGGCCTTGGGAGTGGGGTCCCTGCACCAGCAGCAGCCAGCAGCTCGGGGCTCGGTGGAATGAAGACACCTGGGCCCGCCCCGCCTCCTGAATCAAGCTCCAGGGGTGCCCACCATCGGGGTTTTCAGGAGTCCTCCAGCCGATTCTGAGCGTATCCTCCAGTACTACGTTCCCTGATGATCTCTGGTGATGCAACATCATTGGACGTTGTAATATGTGGTGTCTCTGAGGGGTGAAGCCAGAACCTACCTCTCGTCACGACGGGGTGCCGTGCACTCCAGATTAGGGCCCTTGGCTGTGCCGGCTGGGCTCCTGGACCACGTCCGCTCTGTGTCCACCAGCGAGCAGGCTTAGCGGATGGGTGGGGGGGTCCTCACACTTGGGGCAGGGGGCCTGGCCTTGCTCTGGGCTGTCGTGGGCTCTGGAGAAATGAAGCCTTCAGGCGGAAGCAGGCCGTGGTTAACGTCCTCGTGGACAAAGTGGTGAAGAGATACGGCTGCACGGTGCTGTGACCCCGGGGAACATTCCCAGCCAGAGACACATGGGTTTGATCTGGCTCCTGTGTCCAGATTTCTCAGTTATGTCTGAGAAATGTAAATAATAACTGGGAGATGAGCCAGATTCTTGTCCCAGTCCCCTGGAAGTGGCCCGTCTCTTTGGAGGTCAGAGTTCCTGAGGGAAAAGCCTGTTCCTGGTGGCCATGACTTTCGCGCGTTCCAGAACAAGCCGAGGGGAAGGAGGAAAAAGGGAGGAGGGAGACAGGGAAGCCCAGAGGAGAAGCACTTAGTGATTCTGATGGCTTTTGGTACTTGTTTGCAAAGCAGGTGTAAACATGGTTTATGATCTAAAAATGGTTCTAATTTGCAATCTACTAGAAATAGGCAAGTTAGTCTAAAATTATCACTTGTTTTTGTAACAGAGTAATTCTCAGGTTATTGGCGCTTTTTATAAAAAGTGCTTAACGTTTCAGGACTCAGAAGCAGAAGGTAAGTACCCCCGTCTATCAGCTGTGAGACAAGAAAGGGGGCTGGGAGGAGGGAGGGTGGCCTTGGGGCGGCCGTGTGTGATCTGCTGTCCTTGAGGTCTGGTCGGCATGTCCCCTGCCTGTGTGAGCACGGGCCAGTGCTCTAATTCTCTGCCCTGTCTCCTGAGCTGTAAATGGAGCGGTGATGCCTTGCTCGGGGGCTGGTTGTGAGGACTGAGTAGTGATGCTGATCCTAGCCAGGCCCCCGGGAGCTGAGCCTTCACCCCATGTGCATCAAACACAGCCCAGCGACTGTGTCTCAGTGGCGTGGATGTGCAGCGCAGCCGCCGTCCCAGTCCTCTGGTCGGGGGTGTCCCAGTGGCCGTGGGCATCTTTGGGATCTGGCCACGGGGTTCTCACTTCTGCACTCTTGGCATTTGGGGCTTAGTTATTCTTTGTGGTGGAAACTCCTGGGCGTTGCTGGATGTTTAGCAGCGTCCTGGAAGCCAGTGCCCCTCGCCCCCTCCACGGTGTGACTACCGAGACTGTCCTCAGAACATTGCCAGATGTCCCCTGGCGGGGAGTTGGGGCAAGGCTGAAGCTGGGCTAGGGTTGCATTATTTTGGATTTAAGTTGGTTGAGTGGTTCACAGTGATTTCCACGTACAAAGAGCTCATCAGTTACAGCCTGGACAATGGTGTGGTCAGTTCAAAAACTCAGATTATTCTCTGCACAAAACAAACTCAAAATGCCTGAGATCAAACACCTCATATGAAAGAAATGAGTTTCTTCCAAATATAACTACCAACCTAAAGAAGTACATGACATACCAATAATGGCTTAGGAAGTTGAAATAAATGTTTTAAAAGCTACCAGGAATAAATTCAGATAACCATGCTAGGGAAAATACTGAGTTACTGTCTATTCTTTCAATAGAAAAGCATTGTCATGGCAGGAGGCGAGGACAGAGTATGCAGCCTAATAATATAGAACAAAAGAAAGGTAGTGTCAGGCAGCTTTTTTTTTTTTTTTTTTGCGGCACGCAGGCCTCTCACTGCTGTGGCCTCTCCCGTTGTGGAGCACAGGCTCCGGACGTGCAGGCTCAGCGGCCATGGCTCACGGGCCCAGCCGCTCTGCGGCCTGTGGGATCTTCCCAGACTGGGGCACGAACCCATGTCCCCTGCATCGGCAGGCAGACTCTCAACCACTGCGCCACCAGGGAAGCCCCAGGCAGCTTTTTTTAAGTGCAAGTTTTAATTTTGACACAATTGTAGCTTCACGTGCAGCTGTAAGAAGTAAACCAGAGGAGTCCGTGTACCCTGTCTCCCCAGTGGTAACAGGTCCTGCGGGAGCAGGGCCCACATCACGGGTCACGGACGTCCCTCTGTCCCTCTCTTACACCACGCCCACCTCCTCAGGCCCTGGCCACCACTGGTCCGTTCATTTTGTAGTTTCATCATTTCAGTACCATTCTATAAACGGAAGCAGGCAGTGCAGAACCTTTGTAGGACTGGCTCTTTTCATTCAGAATTCTCTGGAGACCCTCCCAGTTGGTGCTGTGTCTGTAGTTGGTTCCTTTACCACCGAGCGGTGCTCCCTGGTATTGAGGACCAGAGTTTCTTTAACCAGCCGCCATTGAAGGACGTCTGAGTTGTTCTCAGTTTGGGGCTGTTAGGGATTCAGCTGCTATAAACCGCCGTGGATGTTCAGGTTTTCATGTGAAGGTAAGTCTTGGCTCCTGGGGTAAACGCCCAGGAGTGCAATCGCCGGGTTGTAGGGTAGTTGCATGTTCAGTGTCTTAAGAAAGTGCCCAACTGTTCCCAGAGCGGCTGCACCATTACATCCCCCCCAGCTTGTCATCCTCAACAGCATTTGGGGTCCTTGCTCCTTTCAGTGGCAGCCATTGTGACAGGTGTGCGGTGTGCCTCACTGTGGGTGTGAGGGGCGTTTCCCTGGTGGCCAGTGATGTTGGGACATCTTTCATGTGCTTCTTTGCCATCCGCACAGACTCTTGGTTGTAATAGCTTTTCATGTTGTGGCCCAATTTTTTAACTGGATTGTTATTTTCCTGTTGAGTTTTGAGAGTACTTTATAATTCTAGATAAAAGACCTTGGGTAGATATATAGTTTGTGAATATTTTTTCCCCTCCTATAGCATGTTTTTGCATTTTAATAGGGTTTTCATTTTGATGAAGTACAATTTATCAATTTTTGCTTCTGGGGATTGTACTTTTGGTGTTTTATGTCTAAGAGCTATTTGCCTATCCCTAGATCCTGAAGATTTTTCTCCTGTGTTTTTTCTAAAAGTTTTATAATTTTACACTTAAGTTCGTGATCTATTTTGAGTTAATATTTGTATAAGGTTCACCTGTTGCCTCTGGATGTTGAGCTGCTCCAGCACCATTTATTAAAAAGACCATCCTCGGGCTTCCCTGGTGGCGCAGTGGTTGAGAGTCCACCTGCCGATGCAGGGGACGCGGGTTCGTGTCCCGGTCCGGGAAGATCCCACATGCTGCGGAGCCTGCGCATCTGGAGCCTGTGCTCCGCAATGGGAGAGTCCACAGTGGTGAGAGGCCCGCGTACCGCCAAAAAAAAAAAAAAAAAGACCATCCTCCTTCCACTGAGTTACTTTTGCTCCTTTGTCAAAAATCAGTTGGGTCTAGGGAATTCCCTGGCAGTCCAGTGGTTAGGACCCGGTGCTTTCACTGCGTGGCCCAGGTTCAATCCCTGGTCGGGGAACTAAAATCCCGCAAGCCACGCTGAGTGCCGCGTAGGCCAGTTAGCACATGAAAAGATGCACTGGTCAGGAGGGAAATGAAAGTCAAAACTACAAAGAGAGCGACCTCACACCTTTTGGGATGGCTGCTATCAAAGCAAAAACGAAACCAAACCCAGAAAATAGCAAGTGCTGGTGAGGCTGTGGAGAAATTGGAACCCTTGTTGGTGGGAATGTAAAGTGGTACAGCCACTTCGGAAGACAGTATGGCAGCTCCTCAAAAAAGTAAAAATAGAGCTACCATACGGTCCAGCAACTTCACTTCTGGGTATAACCAAAAGAATTAAAAGCAAGGTCTGGAAGAGATATTTGTACACCCACGTTCATAGCATTATTCACAGGAGCTAAAATGTAAAAGCAACCCCAGTGTCCACCAGTGGATAAATAGATAAGCAAAACATGGTCTGTACATACAGCGGGACATTACTCAGCCTTAAAAAGCAGGGGAGGGACTTCCTTGGTGGTCCAGTGGGTAAGAGTCCACGCTCCCAGTGTAGGGGGCCCGGGTGTGATCCCTGGTTGGGGAACTAGATCCTGCACGTGTGCCGCAACTAAAGATCCCCTGTGCTGCAACTAAGACCTGATGCAGCCAAAGTAAATAAATAAATATATATATAAAAAAATTGGACTTCCCTGGTGGTGCAGTGGTTAAGAATCCACCTGCCAATGCAGGGGACACGGGTTTGATCCCTGGTCCGGGAAGATCCCACAAGTCGCGGAGCGACTAAGCCCGCGTGCCGCAACTACTGAATCCCACGCACCTAGAGCCCGTGCTCCGCAACAAGAGAAGCCACCGCAGTGAGAAGCCTGCGCACCGCAACCAAGAGTAGCCCCCGCTCGCCGCCAACTGGAGAAAGCCCACACACAGCAATGAGGACCCAATGCAGCCAAAAATAAAATTAAAACAAAACAAAGCAAAATAAATTTAAAAAAAAGGAAGGGGATTCTGACAACTGCTATCACGTGGATGAACCTTGAGGACATTAGGTTAAGTGAAATAAGCCAGTTACACAAATACTCTGTGATTCCACTTACCTGAGATGCTTAGAATAGTCAGTTCATAGAAATGAAAAGTCGAATGGTGGTGGCCAGGGGCTGAGATGGGGGGACAGTGGGGAGTTATGTTTAATGGGGACAGAGGTTCAGTTTTACAAGGTGGAAAGAAATATGGAGCCGGATGGTAGTGATGGTTGCGTGACATTATGAATGTATTTAATACCATTGAACTCTACAGTTAAAGAGATTAAGAGGATAAATTTTATGTTATGTGCATTTTATTTAAAAAAACTTAACAAAATCAGTTGGGTACATTTGTGTGGGTTCTCTGTTCTGTTCCATTGTATAATAAGTCTTGAAACTGGGTAGACTGATTCCTCTTTATTCTTTTTCAAAATTATTTTAGCTATTCTGGTTCCTTTGTCTTTCATATACATTTTAGAATAGTATTGTCTGTATCTGTAAAAACTCTTGCTGAGATTTCAATAAGAATTGTGTTAAGCTTGTAGATCGGTTTTGGGGGAAATGACATCCTATGCGGAGCCTTCTGGTCATGAACATGACATGTCTCTCCGTTTGTTTAGATCGTCTGTGATTTTCTCACCAGCATGTTGTGTTTCAGCATATAGGTCCTATACATGTTTTGTTAGATTTATACCTACAAATTTCATTTTATTGAGCAATTGTAAATTGTATTGCTTTTAATTTCAGTGTCCATACGTTCGCTGCTAGCTTATAGAAATACAACTGATTTTTGTATGTTTATCTTGTATTCTGAGACCTTGCTGAACTCACTTAATAGTTCTAGAAGTTTTTTGTAGACTCCTTGGGATTTTCTCGGCAGACAGTCGTGTCATCTGCAACAAGGGACTGTTTTACTTTTCCCTTTCTGATCCCTGTGGCTTTTGTTTCCTTTCCATGCCTTCTGCATGGGCTGGAACTTCCAGCATGTTGCTAAATAAGAAGTAAGATTGCTGTCCTGATTTTCCTGATCTCAGGAGGGGACACTCAGCCTTCACCTGAGGATGATGTTAGTGTTGGTTTTTAAAAATAGATGCTCTTTGATGAAACAGGAAGACATTTTTCCAAAGGACATGCAAATGGCCGACAGACACATGAAGCGATGTTCAACATCGCTAATCATCAGGGAAATGCACATCAAAACCGCGAGCTATCACCTCACACCTGCCAGAATGCCGGGCATCAAGAAAGAAGATGAAAGGTAATGAGTGTTGCCGAGAGTGTGGAGAAAACACTGTTGGTGGGAATGTACATTGGTGCAGCCACTATGGAAAACATCATGGAGGCTCCTCAAAAAAGTAAAAATGGAATTACCATATGGTTGTGCAATTCCACTTCTGGGTATTTATGCAAAGGTAAGAAAACATTATCAAAGGGATGTCTGCCCTCCCAGGTTTATTGGAGCATTATTCACAATAGCCAAGGTACAGAAACCTAAGTGCCTGTCAAAGGATGAATGATAAAAGTGTGAGATAAATATATATATACACACACAATCGAATATTATTCAGCCATGAGGAGAAATGTCCTTCCATTTGTGATGGCGTGGTTGGCCCTTGAGGTCATTATGCTAAGTGAGATAATCCAGACAGAGAAAGACAAATATTGTATGATATAACTTACATGTGGGTCAGAGGAAGCCAAACTCGTAGAAACGGAGGGGAGTGTTGGTTGCCAGGGTTAGGGTTGGGGAATAGGAGAGATGTTTCAGGGTACAAATGTGCAACTAATAGATAAATAAGTCCTGGAGATCTGATGCACAGTATAGTGAATATAGACAACAATATTTTACTTAAATCATCAAAACTTCTGAGAGACTAGATCTTAATTATTCCCACCACAAAAGAAGCAATGACAACTATATGGTGTAATGGAGTGCTAAATAATTTTACAATTGTAGGCAGCCATATTACCAGGCACAGGTGTATCAGATCAACACGTTATATACCTTGGACTTGCACATTGTATGTCAAATATATTTCAGTAAAAAAATATATCTTCTATCCAAATAAATGGATGCTCTTTGTCAAGGTGAGGAAGTTCCCTGTCTATTCTTATTTTTCTGAGAGTTTTTATCATGAAAGGGTGTTGGATTTTGTCAAATGCTTTCACTGCCTCGATTGATATGATCATGTGATTTTCCTCTGTTGGCTTGTTAGTATGGTGGATTACTCTGGTTGACTTTTTTTTTTGTGGTACGCGGGCCTCTCACTGTCGTGGCCTCTCCCGTTGCGGAGCACAGGCTCCGGACGCGCAGGCTCAGCGGCCATGGCTCACGGGCCCAGCCGCTCCGCGGCATGTGGGATCCTCCTGGACCGGGGCACGAACCCGTGTCCCCTGCATCGGCAGGCGGACTCTCAACCACTGCGCCACCAGGGAAGCCCCTGGTTGACTTTTTTTATATCCTCCTTGTTCTGTTTAATTCTTTATCATTCCATCGTGAACATTTCTCCAGGTCATTTAAATTCTTCAAACACTGCATTCTTTTTTTTGTTTTTTACACATCTTTATTGGAGTATAATTGCTTTACAATGGTGTGTTAGTTTCTGCTTTATAACAAAGTGAATCAGTTATACATACACATATGTTCGCATATCTCTTCCCTCTTGCGTCTCCAAACACTGCATTCTTTTTTTTTTTTTTTGCGGTATGCAGGCCTCTCACTGTTGTGGCCTCTCCCGTTGCGGAGCACAGGCTCCGGACGTGCAGGCTCAGTGGCCATGGCTCACGGACCCAGCAGCTCCGTGGCATGTGGGATCTTCCTGGACCGGGACACAAACCTGTGTCCCCTGCATCGGCAGGCAGACTCTCAACCACTGCGCCACCAGGGAAGCCCCCAAACACTGCATTCTTAATGACTGGTTGATTTTTGAATATTGACCCAGCCTTGCATCCCCAAAATACCCCACTTGTTTATAAATAGCTTGCAAATCCTTTTATATATTGCTCAATCCTCTTTCCTGATATTTTGTTAAAGATTTTTGCATCTATATCCTTCCGGGTTATTGGTCTGTAGTTTTCTTCTTTGGTATTGTCTTTGTCTGGTTTCAGTGTCAGGGTAACACTAACTTCATAAAATGAATTGGTAAGTGTTCCCTCCTCTTCTATTTTCTGGTAGAAGTGTGTAGAATTGGTGTTCATTTTTCTTTAAACGTTTGGTAGAATCCTCCTGTGAAACCATCTGGCCTAGAGGTTTCCTTTTAGGGAGTTTTAAAATTACAAATGCAATCCCCTTAATTGCTATAGGGCTGTTAAATTCTCTGTTTCATATTGGGTCCATTGTGGTAGTTTGTGTTTTCCAGGAAGTGGTCTGTTTTCATCTAAGTTGTCAAATTTTCTTATGCTATCAGGTGGTTTTAATAAAGAATCCATTCTTTTTCATGGATTTTGTGGTGTGTGTGGAATTTGTCAGTTCTAAAATTTGTAATTTGTTATGACTTCTCTTGTCAGTCTTAATAAGTATTCACTTTTGGACCTCACTTTTTATGATCATAATTTGATATGTGTCTTTTTCTTAAAGGACCCCCATCCGCCCCTTCGCGTATAAGTCAGGCCACACAGGAGCTGGACCTGCCCAGCCCCCTCCAAAGACGTGGATTTGGCATGTGTTTGTTGCCTTAAATGACACTCCTGTGAGCCGAGGGAGTTTGGGGCCTCACCACCGGTTAGGTCTCGACACGCAGCAGACGAGTACTTTATGCTTTTGGAGTGAAACCTATATGGAAAAACTGCAAAATATGCCAGCCTGTATTTAGTCCTGTCCGTGTGATACCAGGTGACAGTTGTTGCTCTTCTTTCTACTTTCCTAAATTTCCGCGATACACATGCTTATTTTTTCAAAAAATGAGAGGAACAGAAAAGGTGGATAAAAAGGGACTGACTGGGGAGTTTGGGGTGCAGAGTTAGGGAGGCGTCTCCAGGAGGGGCCCCAAGACCCCGACATCTCACGTGTTTCCAAGTTCCCACACTCCCTTCTCCGCCTCATGCATTTCAAACAGGAAGCTGTTTGCAGATAATACCGCAGCCCCAGCCTGAGTTGCCGGGCAGTCTGACAGCCAGGCCTCTTGCCCGACGTGTGGGACCGCGGCCCGAAAACAGCAGCCTGGTCTGGCGCACGCCTCAGGTAGGGACGCTCTGCTGGCCACTCTGCAGCCTTGGGAGCGGGACGGGGTTGGGGAACCCGCGGGAGATGCTCAGGCGGGAAGGCGAGGCTCCTGACGGGGCACAGGTAGGAACTGGGTGCAGGGCCGAGGGATTTGCTCTCAGATCGGGTGTGTCGCAGGGATCAGGCCAGAATTCTGAGGCTTGATTGATTCGGTAGCTCACAGTGGAAACTTCCTGGAGCCGAGCGCCGGGCACCAGAGCTACCAGTTACTAGGAGATGATCAGGTTTCCATAGGTTCAAAGGGGTGACGCAGTTTTTCCTGCATCCCAGCCGGGTACAAGCAGCCGCAGAACCCCCGTCCCAGCCCCTGGCATACACACCTTCCTGAGCAGCTAGCTCAGGCTCCTGGGGCCTGGTGGACCCCCCAGCGGGGGCGACGGGGCGACCAGCTCCTCTCTGCTCAGTGGCCAGCCTCTCTGTTTCGGGCTCAGTGGTGGGAGTCCCAGATGTGGGGCGAAAGGCGGGGCTGGAGAAGGCAACTTTCAAGGGCACATAGGGTCACCCTGTACGGGGTGGGGTCATCCTGCCTCCAAAATTGGATTCCACAGCGTCCCAGGGGCCCTCCTGCCTTGGCCCTGGCTGTCCGGCCGAAGTTAGGCAGTGGTTCTGAAGTTAAGAGGTAAAGTTTGGAAGCCACTGAGTGTGCATAACTGGATTTTCTGTTTGATGGGAAGCACGTTGCCCGGGTAGCAAGCAGAGCGGCGCCCCAAACGTTCACAGCTGTTCAGTTCTATTTACGAATTTGAAAAATCTATATGCCAAATAAAAGAACAGACAGATGATTTGCATAAGGCTCGGGGAGGTAATAGGGAAAAGGCCTCTTCTTGCTTCATGGTCTTGGTAAAAAGATAGGAAAAATGTGTGCCCTTGGGGTGAAACTCTGTCAGTGCCATAGTCGCTGGGGAAGGCCCAGTGTCACTGTAGGGGTGGGGGTGGGGTGTCTGCCTGCCAGTGAGACCCGCGACGCTTCTAGGGACGTGCTTCTCTGCAGGCATTCACGGTGCCCGTAAGACGGTGGGCCCTGCTGTAGACATTTAATGAAAATGTACAGTTGCACGTTTGGCCCATTAAGCCGCACTTTTTTCCCTATTTCATTTTTATATCATGTTTCTACCAAGAATTCCAAATTGAATTTCCTTTCTTCTCGGCCAAGCTGGCCTCCTTCACGGAGGGGTGGGCCCCAGCTGGGAGATAAGGATGTTTTTCTTGAAGAGACCCAGGAGGAGCTGCAGCCTCCCCGTTTATAAAACAAAATTCCTCTTGTAAGAGGGCAGGAAGGAGCCCGAAGTCTGGGAAAGAGGCTCCCACCAGGGCCGCCTGCACTGATTCCTGCTGCAGGACCCGAGGTGGGCCCAGACGCGTGAGCGGGCCAAGGGCCGAGGGCCAGCGGGAGGGCAGCCCCGGCTTCCCTGCACTCCGGGCCCTCTGCCCCTCGCTCCCCCTCCTTGGGAGGTGGCATCTGATCTTCTGCAGTGTGAGAGCAGCGAGTCTTGCTGAACAAGGTGGCTGTCTTCTGACCCAGTTGTCTCTAGCTAGAGAGGAAATTCCCATGCAGTTCCCGAGACATTTAAAACAATCTAAACACAGCTGGCCTCCCACACATACCAAGAGGCAAGCATCCATTGGCCTGAGCACAAAAGTCAGGGGAGCAAGTGTTTATCGTGGCTTTTTAAAAACCGCCAGCTAGTTGACACGTAACATTCTATTATCATCGCCTTCAAGAAGTACCTCCTTGAAAGGAACAGGCGACTTGCCGCTAAAGCAGCAGCTACGCTCTTCATGGTTAAGAACACAGTGTGATCATCCGGGCTGGCTGCACACTTGGCGGTGCTGCTTTGTTCAAAGACCATTAGGAATCCAGGCCCCAATCCCATTGTCCGGCCCTCTACGTGGGTCCGCACAGGCCGCGTGTCCGAGGCGCTGGCCCTGGGAACACCATGGGAACGTGGAAAGCCATCAGCAGAAGAGTGTCACGTCCTATGTGAGTTGCCGCTGGGAACCTCTGGGCGTTCATTCATTCATGTGCCCATCCTTCCATTCACTCGCTCAGCTTAGCGCCTGCAAACCCCAGGCCTGAGTGCTCCAAGCTCTTCCAGTTACGGCTGCAGGTGCTCACGGCGGCCGATGTCCGGGATGAGCTGCTCGCTTGGGGGTCAAGGCTTAGCTGACAAAGGAGACGGAGAGAGCCAGCTCACCGGGGCCCGCACGCCTGAAGGGCCCTGCAGCCTCTCACTGCCTCCTATTCACTGTCTTTAAAACCAGGGGCCATATACGTCACCAGGGGGTCCGGGGACTAAATAAGGCGTGTGTGTCCACGTTTGGTGTGCAGTAAACGTTAGCTCCTTTTCTCTCCACCAAACGTGAATGTTAGAAAAGTAGATAAAATAAAAGCCCACTACTGCTGTGACTGAGTGGGGAGGATGGGCCCTTACTTTGATTCGGGGAAGCTGACGGTTGGGCCGAGTGAGCAACGGTGCTGACAGGACAGCGTTAGGAAGTCCCAGGCCAGCCCATCGTCACCACTTCTTAGTTGTCACTGAGGTCTCTGCCTCTGGCCTCCTGGCCCGTGAGGCTGGAATGACGTGCCCATCCCTGTGCAGGGTTACATGAGCACCGTGTTGTCCCCGATCTGGTGAGCAGTCCTCCCCCTGCCTTGTCCCTACAGGATCAGATCTGTGACCACACGTGGGGAGCCGGGGCCTCACTGCAGGACAGCACGGATGACTGTCACCTCTGTCCCCTTCGTGGAAGATCTGGCTAACGCACAGGCTCTTCACGGGGGGCACAGAACGCTCTCACTCAGCAGCTCTGCTTCCAGCCCTTCATTTGTCTGGAAGCCAGGGCCGGCTGTGGGACTCCTTCCCAGGGTGTGGTGGCCAGGATGTCAAAAGCTGCTGTCCAGTGGGGCCGGCCTGGTGCTGAGCTGCGTGCACCGCTGCCTGTTCTTCCTCAGGGTGACCCCAGGACGCTTGCCTCGCTGTAAGGTGAGGGAACAAGCCGACAGGAGATGCAGTCTAGCCAGGGCGCTGGTCCAGGTGCAGCCGGATGCACAGCTGTCTCCCAGCACTGTGGCATCCAGACACCAAGGTCCCGGGGGGCAGACCTCAAAGTCTGCGTGCTTCCTCACTGGCCCATGGCGAGGGGACCAGCACAGGGACGGGGGGGCAGCTGTGTCCTTCCAACCTCTGTCCCTGTCCCACACCCTTTGGTGACGGGGGCTTCCTCATTGACGTGAGGACATAGTAAGCTACAGGAGTGTGCGGCAGCATAACGTTGATGAATCCTGGAGCACGATGTTGAGTCAAGTAGGTAAGACGACACACAGCGTGACCCAGTATCTCATAAAACTCAGAACCTGGCACACTAGACACGGCGTTGTCTAAGAATGCATGCACTGAGACTGTTTTGGAAACAGCAGGAGAAGGTGGGCTCAGGTGAGGAGAGCGGCTCCTCCGAGGGGAGGCCGGGGGTGGGATGGGCACCAGGGACTCGGGTCAGGGGCCCGGACGTGTGAAGCGGATGCTCACCAATGTTTGTTTTATGGCTGAGCGTCTGAGTTTTCACGTAACGGTAAACATGCCTCTGTGTGTATCAGGTATCAGTTATAAGGAGTCAGAAGAAGAATCTGGAGTAACGCATCCGGAGTGGTGACTGTTGTCACTGCTGGGCGAAGGGGATGTCTCGGTGGAGGTTTCAGTCGGCACCCGAGTGAGAGAGACAGAGTGACAGAGAGGGAGACAGACAGAGCGACAGGGAGAGAAAGAGGCACCAAAGCACTGACAGCCGCTCCAGGGCAGCTGCCACCGCAGCCCCCGAGCGGGGCGAGTGTGGTGGCCGGCGCGCCTGCACACTGTCACTTGCTGTCCCGGTTCCCGGAATTCCCGTCACTGTTTACTGCTTCTCCCTCCCTTCAGGAGTCAGCGTGCTGCGAGGCTCACCATGAAGCAGGCTCTGGCTCTCATTGGCCTGGCCTTCCTGTCGGTGCTCCGGGCTGGGGGCGCTCAGCAGACGGTGGATGACACCTGCTCCGTGCAGATTCTCGTCCCCGGCCTCAAAGGTAACTTCCGCCGGGCCTCCCAGAGGTCAGGGCCTCCCGGGCAGCGGCCGGAGTGCAGGCGGGAGCTGCGTGCGAGCGGCGGATGCAGAGCTCATCCCGCGTCCCCGGGCCGGCTCGGGGCCCGGCCGTGGGAAAATCTGCCCCGTCGATGGCCCTGGTCCCCCCTTCTGTAAAGTCCAGGGTCAGACTGTACGTGGCGTCCACACTGTCTTCAGGCGAGGGATCCTGTAATTCTGAAACCAGACGTTCGTGTGCAGCTCGGTCCTCTCTTCAGGGACCCTGTAAGGCGTCCGAGGTGTGTTCCAGGCACTGCACACGTCACCTGCAGCGCCTCTCAGGGTGAAATGCTCTCATTGTGCAGATGAGGCCGGTCCAGGCTCAGGGAAACTTAGCAGTTTGGCTAAGTGGGTTGCGTAGCTCTGAAGCCTGGGCTCCTGTTACGGTTCCTGAGAGCTCTTTATTCCTTCTTCGAAAAATCAAGAAAACTTCTCCTGCGCTTTGTCTGTAATTCACCTCCAGGGGGAGCTGCCTCTGCAGACCAGGGATGGGTGGGCACCAGCACAGGGGGAGGACCTTCACTCAAAAAGTCACCGGGTTCTACCACGCACGGGCAGGAGATCCCAAACCTTGTGGCTCCCAAGCAGGACCAGCTCCGTAATTCGAGGGGCCCAATGCAGATGAAAATGTGGGATCTTTTGTTCAAAAGTTAGAAAGAATTTCAAGACGGGGACAGGGCACCTCCACCACGTGGGGCGAGCATGCCCCTTGGGCCTTGTGCTCCTAGGAGCAGCGGGCAGGGTCCCGCATCCCCAGATTCCACTCTGCCCCTCCTGCCCCTAAAGGGCTGTGTGTGCTCTTAGTAATGAAGTTACACGGCCGTTTGTTTTCTGCTCTAAAATTGCTCGGGGCCTCTGAAGCACACAGCTCCTGACTCGAGCGAATCTCCGATAACCTGGGGAACATACACCGGGAGGAGGCCCTAAAGAACGGTGTAAGCGTATATTTATTGTATAGAAAGAGTCAGTCATTTTTATTTATTTATTTATTATTATTGTTACTTTTTTGGCTGCACTGCAGCTTGTGGGATCTTAGTTCCCTGACCAGGGATTGAACCCGGGCCCCCTGCATTGGGAGTGTGGAGTCTTAACCACTGGACTGCCAGGGAAGTCCCAGAGTCAGTGACTTTAAACAGTCTCTTCCTAACCCCATTAAAAATATACAAATACACAGAAATAGGAAAAAATCTAGACGGAGATATACTGGCATGCTAGCAGCAGTGCTTCTCTCTGAGCACGGAGTTGTGGGTGTCTGGGAAAGCTCGGTCCAGATATTCTACTGTATAGCCACATTCGCCATTTAAATATAAAACTGGGACACTATCAATATTCAGATGTCTCTGGGTTTTCAAGCACATCTTGAGGGTACTCTGAGACAGATGCTTTTTGACATCTGCGTCGGTGACCATTTCTGCTGCATCCATGTTAAGGGCGTTCCAACCCGCGTGCTCGGCAGGTTCCCTGCAGTGCTTCCTTCTCCGAGGGTGGCCCGCTCCAGGGACACCTCACCTCCTCTAAGCAATGATTTCTCACCACCCAACACCATGCTGTGGTCGGTGATGAGCCACTGTATTGCCAGGTGGAGGCATGGTCCACAGTGGTGAGCCACTGTATTGCCAGGTGGAGGCATGGTCCACAGAGAGCCGACTTGCTGTCACTCTCCTGCTCCTACCCCGTTCGCACACTGAGTGTCTGCAGTGAGCAGACACGGTGTGGGCCCTCCAGCGGAGGGGTCTGCCAGGGAATCTGCGGGGCCCCTGCTCTCCAAGGCTCATCTTCTGGCAGGTGGTCAGACAGGCTCCCGAGTGGTGCTGAAGCTGTGTGGGATGTTTGGGGCCATGGGCAACACGCAGACCACGTGCTACCCACAGTGTGTGTTCCGGATCCAGCGTTTCAGTGGCAGCATCGTTTCACACGTCCGGTTTCACACTAGTCTGTCAGCACCAAAGCAGCGATTTTAGTGGAGAAACTTAGTATATTTATGAAAGCCTCTAGAAACTGGATATCTTGTTCTTTTCTAAATTTCCAGCTTTGCTGGGGGTGGAACTGACAGATGGAAGCTCTGTCTATTCAAGGTGTGCATCATGATGCTCGAATAGGCAGGTACCTTGTGGACGGATCGCTGTCACGCTGATGACCACACCCACCTCACCTTGTTACCCTCTGTGCGTGTCTTGTTGTGACGCAGAAGCGTGGGTCAGTGAGAGTTCCTTCTTTGTGATGCGAGGGTGCTGAGCCGAAACAGAGGAGGGGTTTCATGCTCTGACTTGGGCAGCAGGGGTGAGAGTGGAGGAGAGAAATCTATGGCAGCAAAGCAAGTCTGGGGCTTCTAAGCAGCAAACGTTCAGGCCCATGTGGATGTGCGTCCCCTGCAAAGTGAAGATTGGCATCACGGCAGAGCTCCTTCCCCGGATCCGCGTCTCGTGCAGCGTGGGGCAGCGGCGGGCCGGCCGCCCTCTGCCCGGCGCCTGGTCCCACCCAGCTCCTCCTCAGACCAAGCTCCGACCTCGAGGACATTCTATGCTGCTCTCAGGGCACAGAGAGCAGGATGCGCCGGAGAGCCAGGGCAGTCTGTGAAAGATCTGATTACAGCACATGTGCCAGGGCCTGCCTTGGTCAGTGGAGATAAACACAATTCAGGCCCCGCCCTTAAGATGAAAGAGGCAGGTGAGGGGTCTCCGTTCGTTCATCAGCCGCGTCTGTGTTACAGGCCCCACCAGGCCAGGCTTAGCCTGCGAGGGTGGAGCCAGTGCCCGTTTCCTTGGAGACGGAGCCTGGAGGTGGCAGGAGGTCTCTGGGGACATGGCGCCCGGCTGCTTCCGGCCCGTCCTGGTGCTTCCTCCTGCGAATCCACACTGGGCTTCAGAATCCTTCTCAAGGACTCCAGGCGGCCTTCTCCTTGAGAAGAAAGTCATGTGCTATTACAGACCTAAATGTAGCACATTATCTTTGTATCTGGAGAGAGTAACAACTCATTCTGATGGAAAAGCAGTCTTTCCTTGATGGCTGGAAAAATGGGCTGTAGGTAGGAAAACACTGGTGTGTATTAGCAAGCCTGCTGCTCAGAGATTTTAAAAGGGCATCGTTATTCTTACAGGTTTTATCAAATTAATTGAAAGAAGGTTGATAAAGCCAATAATGTGACTAACACATGCATGTGGGGATTTCACGCTTCTGAAATGCTGCTCTGGGCCAGTTCCCTCCTCAGCTCTGGTCTCCCTGCCTCTTTCCTGTCCTGACTGCTTTCTCTCCCAGAGGAGGGTCCAGTCGGGGACGTGGCCTGCTTGTTCTCTGATTAGGGTTTTGCTGCCCGGAGCTGGAGAGCTGGCTTGTCGCCTGTCTCTGGCCTGGCTCTTCATCATAAAGTGGACGTGATCCCTGCCTCACGGGGCAGGGCGGGGGCAGGTTAAATTAATGGAACTAAGCGAATGGCTGTGTGTGAATGCTAGGAGTTCATCTTAATCTATAGAAGAAGCTGGTGGGTTTGCTTGGTGTTAATTTTCCACGATTATCCACAGAGCCGCTGTGCGGCCCAGGGCTCTCCCGGCTGCTCCAGGAGACGCAGGCGGGCACGACGTGGACCCTCCGTCCACGGGGGGCAGTGGGACGTGGGCACTGATAATGCTCGCGTCTGGCCTGGACCCTGGAACCATTAATCTCACTGTCCTCCCCTGACGCAGGCATGGGACCACGGTATTTTCCTCCTTAAAGCCTGGCGGGGGCGTCCGGTGGGCCGTACGTGTGAGGTCTGAGCGCTGTCTGTGCCCGGCCCTCCCGGCTCGTCCCACCTCACCTGTGCAGTGTCCTTTTGTCTCCTCAATCTCTGCCTGGCTGCATCTTCCTGGTTCAGCAGGTCTGCATTAAAAGCCACTTCATCAGAGAGGCCTCTTCTGATCTCAGTCTAAATTACAGCCCTTCTGTTCAAGTTCCTGCTTCATTTTATTCTCGTACCCTGTGTTGCTAATGACAATTCTGTGTCAATCTAATTCTCATTCACGTGCGTGCAGTCTTTAAACATTCCTTCTCCTCGTGGCGCTCATAGAATTTTCTCTTGATTCTTGATGTTCTGCGTGTCACTCTGACACATCTGAGTTATTTTCCCCTCATTTCTTTCCTGCTGGCACTCTGTGGGCACGCGCATTGTGCTCTTCGGTGATTTTCCTTAGTGCCGGGAAGTCATAGCTATTAAATCTTCACAGCTGTTAAGGCTTCGAATGTCTCTTCTCCTTTTCTGGAATTCCTGTATGATGCATGTTGGGATCTGTGGGGTTTTTTCTTCAACGCTCGACGTGATAACTTCAAAACCGAAACAAAACTTTCCATCTCCTTCTCTCTCAGTGTTGCCTTGTAGACAAGTTCTTCATCCTAATTATTTGTCTCATGAATTAGCTTTTATCATTGGCCATTCTGTTACTCAGTCTGCCTGTAGAGTAACTTGTTTCAAAAATGTGTTTCATGCACGAGATTCCCTAGTTGGTCCCCTTTCATTGCCGCTTGTTCTAGTTCGTAGCTGCCTCTTCTCTCTCATCTTTATGAGGATATTCAGTGTCTTTCACAGTCAGATTCTGGCTGCCCCGCTGAGTCCTGTTTCCTGGGTTGTTATTTCTTTTTTCACGATGTTGGTGCCCCTCCAATGTCTGCTGATTCTTGATGGTGAGATCAGTCTGTTAGTCGGTATTTCTTGGTAGACTATCAGTTCTTCTCCAAATATTACTACTGTAATGATTTCCTTTCTTTTTAAAAGATAAGAAAAAACCCGAGAACTACCCAGAAATTCAGGGGCCCGTGTGTGCCAACAGCCCTTTAGCAGCGGTTCATGGAGCCGGCACAGCTGTGCCGGGGTGGCAGTAACACGCCAGCCCTGCATTCCACGTTTAAATGGAACGCCCCCTCCCCTTAAGGCCAGATTATCAGTTTGGGGGATTCCACTGTGGAATCTGTAATCTCAGGGAAGCGTCTTACCAAATGAAGGCATGTGTAGAGAATTTACGGAGAATGAAAGTTCACTTGAATGTTGGCCTGCTGTTTGCACAGCTGGGCAGGTGCACGTCAGCACCCACACCCACCCGTGGGAGGCAGATACATCAGGGAAGTAGATGAGGCCACGAGACAGTGACTGTGGTACAGAGCAGGGTCCTCATCACGGGAGAACGGAGATCCAGTGAGGGGCTGAGGAACAGCTTCCTGGACAGTCAGGTGAGCAGGTGAAACCCGCACAGGTGGGTTGATGGTCACGGCCGACTAGGCAGAGGCAGCAGTGTAACCGGACCCCTGGGCTCCAGGTGCAGGCCTGTGGGGAGGAGCTTAAAAATGGGACATTATTTATAACTACATTTGTCTGTTGGTGGTTTTGAATCTCCTTTGAGAAGGGAAGTATCATAACGGACTCTGTGTTTTAGGAAGATGGTTCTGGGGTGGATTGGAGTGGGGGGCGGCGGGGGGCACCGGGAGGGGCCTTGATGTCCCATCCGCACTCCGTCCTCTGCTCCCCCCGTGCACTGTGCTGCTCAGACAGGGTGTCTCCACGGTTGTTTGCGACCTGTCTCCTGCCCTGAGCCGCATGAGGGCGGGCTGGTGGTCCCGTCACCTCCAGAACTGCAGAGACGTGGCTGAGCGTGGAGCCCCCATGGGCATCGGGAGGGAGCGGCCGGTTGGGCTTCGCAGAGCTGGGCGATGCTTGCACTTATCCGATGAGGGAGACAGAAAAGCAGAGATGACCGTGGGGCTTGGAGCCTGGAGTCTGGGAGACTCGGTGTCTCAACGGCAGGAGCAGGAAAGTCCACAGAAGAGACTCACTTCTGGGGAAAACCACCAGGTCGACTTGGGACGTGCTAAGTGCGGGGTACCGGGGAGGCTCCACAAACAGCCCGTTTCCCTGTTTCGGTTCTGAACAAAACAGGAAATAAAGGAAAATGTGCCAAAACATGGTCAGGATCTGTGAGGAAGGCTGGGGGCGTGTGTAGCTTAGGCTGAGAGCAGGACGCACCTGGCCAGCGAACCTGAACCGGGTGGTGTGCTCACCTGGTCACAGGTGTCCCCGTGTGGGAGGACCCTGCCCCTGAGCAGTAGTGTACCCTCTGGGGGGTGCTCACACTGAAGGGACAAGGGGACGCCGACTCGTGTGCCCAAGTTTATTCTTCCCGAGAGTACCGGCCAGACAAGGGAAGAGAGAGGCCAGCGCGGGTGGTAAGGGGCAGCAGAGCAGCCATGGTGGGTCCTGGGGAGCCCTGTGCACCAGAGGGCAGACTGGGGCCAGCCCAGGGGGATGGATGGAGAGAGGGACAGATGCATTCCCAGAGGGAGTGGGGAGGCAAGGCAGCAGAATCCTGAGAAGAGACTTGGGGAGGGAGACCTAGAGCCAAAGCTGGGAGCAGGTTGGGAGGAAGGTGTGAAACCCCCCGGGGGTGGGATGGGAAGAGGGAGGCCAAGGGGCCTGGCTGGCGGCACACAGACACTGGACCCCGGCGCTTAGAGCAAGGTCCTAAAGGCATGTGACTTTTTCCACAGGGGATGCTGGAGAGAAGGGGGACAAAGGCGCACCAGGACGGCCTGGAAGAGTCGGCCCCACGGGAGAGAAAGGTACCTGCTGCCCCTGGGCCCCAAGGGCACAGCTGGGGCACCGGCTCCTGGAGAGCTGTTGGTGGGGAGAAGGGGGGTGTGTTCGAGAGGAACCTGGCACCTGTGTAGGTCTCGGGACTGAAGCAGGGCACAGAGAGTGCTCTTTAAACAGTGCTCCCTGGCTCTGGCCTGCCCGGCACCGAGAAACAAAGTGCCTTCTGGGAGGTGTGCCTCATCGGGTGGTTACGTGTATGGAAACTCGGCGCTCACTTGGCCTCACGTGCAAATTGGGGATCACTTGTGATCGTTACACGTATAAGTGCAATTATGAAGGTGTGCAAACAGTGATGGAGGCGTGTGAACAGTGATGGAAACAGTCATGTAGGTGTGCAAAGGAGAGAGAGCACAGATTTGGGTGGGGCATGGGGGGTTACACCGTGGCCTCCCAGTTTTGGCTAACGGACCCTAGTCACCTTGAATTTGTTTCCTCATTAGGAAAAAAAATAGTGTCGTTCAGCCTGCCTCCTGGGGTTGTGCTGGGGCTTACAGAAAATAGATCCTACCTAAAAAAGAAGCTACATGGTGCACGGTGATGTCAGTAAATGCCACCATTAGGATGTACTTCCTTTTACTGCTTTAAAGTTTGTGAAATCCGTAAAAGCTGTGTTTGGAAGTGCTTTGTCAACGCCCGCACACTATTCTATGAGAACACGTGCTGGGATTATCCAGCCGGTCCCCACCCCGCCTCATAGCATCGGAGTTAGGTGGTTCTTGTAACAACACAGATAAAGGTTGTTATGTTTTTAAGTCCATGCACTGTTTTTTCATTCTTAAATGTTGGTTTTTTCTTTTTTGTTTAATTAATTAATTAATTTATTTTGGCCCCGCTGTGAGGCATATGGGATCTTAGTTCCCAGACCAGGGATCGAACCCGCACCCCCTGCATTGGGAGCACTGAATCTTAACCACTGGACCACCAGGGAAGTCCCAGTTTTTTCGTGTTTTGAGGTGTGATTTACGTAGCGTCAGTGAGTTTGGCAGCTGCAAATGCCTGTGAAACCCGGGTCACAGTCTAGATCCCGAGCACTTGTGTCACCACCATCCCTCCATCAAGCCCACATGCTGATTTTTATTTCTTACTTTCCCTTTACTCATAACAAATTAATTAAAAAAATAAAAGAACTGTTGTCCTGGTTCAAAGTTCAAAACATACAGAAATTATTCACAGCCACTAGTCTCCTTCCCATCCCCACCAGCAGCCCTCGCCACTGACAACCACTGTTAGGTTTCTTTATCTTCACAGAGATATTTTGTAATGGCTGAGTGAACACTATTCTTTCCTGCTTCTGTACAAACAATTGCAAAATGTATGTAATGTTCTGCATTTTCACTTAACCATGTTCTTGGAGATCATTCATTCTACAGGAGGACATGCAGGTTGTGCTTGCTCTCGCCTGGAGACATTGTGTCCGTTCTTTATCTAACTGGTCTCCTATTACTGCAGATTTACAGTTCCCTAGGGCCTTGCTGCAGTGAGTGAGTAATCTTGTAAATGTCATTTTTAATGTGGACGAGTACAGCCTGAAGATAAATTCCGGACAGAGTAATTGTTGATCAAAATGCACGTGCGTTTGAAATGTTGGTGGATATGGCCTTCCAAAAGGATCGAATCCATTTACCCTCTGTTTATTGAAGCACAAGACGGCCGACCCCTTCACCCTCCCTGCCTCAGAAAGCTGCCAGTCTGGTAGCCGTGGAAGGCCACGTCAGTGGGGCTTTAACTTAGCCTCTCTTATCATAAATGAAGCCAGCTTATTTTTCAGGTGTTTAAAAGTCATTTGTATTTCTTTTCTTTTTTTTCCTTTTTGAGGATTGTCTTTTCCTGTCTTTTAAAAAACCTTCTTGGGTTCTTTTTTTTTAATTTATTTTTCGGCTGCATTGGGTCTTCATTGCGGTGTGCGGGCTTCTCATTGCAGTGGCTTCTCTTGTTACGGAGCCTGGGCTCTAGGCGTGTGGGCTTCAGCAGTTGTGGCGCATGGGCTTAGTTGCTCCGCGGCATATGGGATCTTCCCAGACCAGGGATTGAACCCGTGTCCCCTGCATTGGCAGGTGGATTCTTAACCACTGCGCCACCAGGGAAGTCCCCCTCTATTGTCTTGTGAGGACAATGTCACATTTCACAGTTAGGAAGTGAATATGCCTCTATTCTGGATGGTCACAAATTCATTTTCATGACGCCATTTCATTGATTTTTTTTTTTTTTCCCTTTGGCCGAGCTGTGCAGCATGTGGAATCTTAGTTCCCTGACCAGGGATTGAACCCACCCCCCCTGCCGTGGAAGCGCGGGGTTTTTGCATTGATGTTTTTTCAAAGTAACGATGTTTGAGCTCAACGCACGTGCAGCAGGCAATGCCTAATTTCATGCCAATGTGGACCCGTGGCTGCTCTCTCATCTCTGTCACTAGTGTCACCAACATGTAGCTCTCTCATCGCTCTGTCATCATCATCATTCTCTCTTATTCTCACTCTTGAAAAGGCAGGACAAGCACGCAGAAACTATAAATGCTGTTATTATAGCGTCCGAATCTTCTGATGAGGATGAACGTTGCTGGGAAGGCAACAGCCTAATTCACTGCGTTTTCCTGTCATTAACCACTAAGTTGAGTGCTGTTACGTGCTGAGATCTCGGGGAGGCCACCTGAGCCCCAGAGTCAGAGGGGGAGAACAGATATGTGGACCCTGGAGAATAAATTGAGGCAGAAAGCTGCGGGGCAGTGTGGAGGGGAATTTGGGCTGGATCGAGAATCTGTCTTGTTTCAAGTTTTTCTAACATGTAACAGTAAGGTGTGCTCATGATAGAAAATTTATATATATCTATAAAAGTGAGGAAAATCAGGCATAATAAAATCATCCAGAGATAACCACTTATTTTGGTATATTTCCTTTTTCGGGGTGACTTTTCTTGCTTTGTTGTAATTATATTGTGTATATAAGTTTGAATCTATTTCTTAAATTTAATGGCAAATTTTAGTGTAAGGATTTCTCATGTATGAAATCATTTTGATGAATGTCTCCTACCCATGGGTAACTTAAAACTCCACTGGGAGCGGTATGTTCGAGAGCAGAGTCCTGTGTATGATTCGGGCAGGAGAGGGGAGCCTGGACCTGCCCTTTACAGTCCCATTGACCTGCCTGACAAGGAACCTGCCAGGCTAGGAGGCGATGGGGCAGTGATCACCGGGCTTGCCAGGGGTCTGGCTTCGCCACTGACAAAATGAGCAGGTTTGGTCTGGGGTCTTTGCTACTTTGTAGAGCACAGAGAACAAGTCAACCCAAGTGGGATATATTTGGATTATTGAATAGTGGGATAGTTACGTAGAAATCTAGGAAATATCCATTTTTGGATGACCTTTAAAAAGAGGACTGGCCGTGGCATGATAGAATATAAGAGAATAAAATAGGATACAAGAACAGACATGTGATCGACTAAGATATTTACAAAAAGGCGAAGAAAAAGGATGGAGAAGAAATCAATCAGAATACTAGTAGTAGTAGACGTTTCTGGGTTATAGGATTATGGACCTTTAAATTCTCTTCTTTAAATTCTTCTTTACATTTTCTCCTGTCTCTGTCGTTGGTGTTCCCAGCAACGTGCATGAACTATACTTTGGATGTTAACAGGTATTTTGAAAGGTTGCTGTGGCCGTGGCCCTGGCCTGTTGGCGATGTAGGCTCACCTGGAGGCCCAGGTGAGGGTTCGTGAGCTCTGGCGGTCTCCCACACACTGACGGCCATGCTCACGGGGTCAGCATGGCTGCACCTGGGCTCGTCGGAGCCCGGAAACTGAGAGCTGCGGCCAACCTCAGAAGCGCTAGCGCAGGTTCAGTGTGGCGAAGCTCGAGGCGGGCCGTGCTCGGAGACTCAGGTGTGCTGGGAGGCGACCTCAGCTCCAGGACGCCCCAAGGCTCCTCACTGGAACCGCTCTCCCGCCGGGATGCGGGATTCTCCCGGCCACCTTCCCATCCTCCTGCATCCTGCTTTCGTGGAGGCGTTCCCACCAGTGCCCTGCTCTTAGCGGATTGCAGCTACTGCCCGGGGGCCCTGTCCCCTACGGAGAGCAGTGACCACTGCAGGGCGGGGCGCTGGGGAGACTTGCCTGGTTTCTGCATCAGCTTGGTTTCTACGAAGAATGGCAGTGGGCTGGATCTGGGTACCTGTCCAGAGGCTTCCGAAAGGGGCTCCTAGGATGAGGGCTCCGGGGCGGGAAGGGCAGGGTGTGGGCGGGGCAGACCCGCTCAACGCCAACAGTGCTGTTTACCAGCTGTGCTGGCTTCACACCCTCGCTTCCAACCCGTGAAGGCAAAATAATAACGTAGTCGCTATCAGTCCCTATTGTTTATTAAAGGATGAAAGCTGGGAACTCGGGAGCAGCAAGCCTGGTGCACCGTGGGCCCTCGCGCAGCTGCCTTGTTCCCACTTCCGAGCTGTTCCAGCCCCACGCCCACCGGCACTGAACCCAAGGTGGTCCTCGCTCATCCCGGACAGCGGCCCCTTCAGAGTCGGCTGGGACCTTTCAAAAACGGTTATTTCCACTTGAGGCTGTGTTGATATTTCCCCAGGCACTACATTAAGCCAACTTAAATCCTCAGTTGTGTTTATGCAGTGCACTTACATCATTCACACTTGATTTTCATTGTTTAGAAATTATTTTCACTGGAATTACTTTTCCCCTGTGAATTTTCACGGACTCCTTGAACAGTTTTTTTTTTTTTTTAAGAATCAATTTTATTTATTTATTTATTTATTGGCTGCGTTGGGTCTTTGCTGCTGCGCGTGGACTTTTCTCTAGTTGTGACGAGCAGGGGCTACTCTTTGTTGTGGTGCACAGGCTTCTCATTGTGGTGGCTTCTCTTGTTGTGGACCATGGGCTCTAGGCACGCGGGCTTCCATAGTTGCAGGACACTGGCTCAGTAGTTTTGGCGCGCGGGCTCTAGAGCGCAGGCTCAGTAGTTGTGGTGCAT